ACCTTAGAAAACACTCTTTGCCTTCACGTAGCGTACTTTCGTCATCGCCTGCTGCAGATGGCCAAGAGGTTAGTTCATCGGCAAAGTCAGAGTGAGACAATGCATATGAAACCTATACGGCGTGAGGCAATACGATAAAGTATAAAAAACAATTACCTGGTCTCCAACCACGTCCAGTATGGCCGAGGCTGTCAAACAAAAGGCGGAAATGGTAGAGAAAGGCCATGGCGAATGGCAATCGATTGTGCTCCTTAAACAAAGATATGTACGGTCTTCAGTGGTACCAATTACAACCTACGGTCACAAAATTAAAATTACCGTTTGTAAGTGAAGTTTCTATTAGGGTATAAATCTTAGCGACAGATGAATGAAAAGAATCGAGTAGAGAAGATGCCTTGGCAAACTAGCATTTTCTGAATCTCGCTATGACTGGATGACATTATCGCCAGTACAAACAAATTGCGGGAATGAGAAAGCAGTTAGTTACGGGAATGAAGGAAAGAAAATTTTGTTGTTGAAAACGTGTTTGAATGATGGTCTTCCTCACACTTATATAATGGCGCCAAATCTAGCGCCCTTGTTTCCATGAAGTTAATTGCGGGAACGATGATCACCATTTCCATGTCTCCATCAGTCAGCAGTATCCTATTTTTGAAATGCAGAATCAACAGCAGCGATGTGACAAGCATAGTCTGAATTATCCTGTTCCCTTCCCACTCATTTACTAAGATGGTACTCATTTACCAACCTCTAAAAGAAGAAAACTTCATTGACCCGACCGGGGCTCGAAACCAGGACCTCTCGGTTCTGAGTCCGATGCTCTCTTGGCCGAATAATCCTGGCTTGAAGGAAAGTGTGCTAAATTCTTCGTTCAAGGGGGTTCATGGTAAAGACAAAGATTGCCCGCCGCGAGAATCGAACTCAGCACCTCCGGTGCTCGACTTAAAAGCAGATCTCTAATGAATACGCCACCACGTTATTGGTTCAAAACTCTACTTGCTCCACCGACAGATCGAAAGATCACAACTGTGACACAGCTGTGCTGAGCGAGCAAAAACAGAGACCCGATGGAACATCGCATTTATTTATTTACTACGAAATATTTGCTATTGGATCTTAAGAAGCGTGCAGGAGATGTCGAATTTTACCACCAAGAATGCTGTCGTCCATACCACAGCATTCTGTAAAATCACTCTGCAACAATCAGACCCGGTCTGCAAAACGTTTAAAACGATTTTATTTAATCAGTGGGGAGTCGTGAGACTCATTACGCTGACAGTTTCAAATAACATTTGAATTAAATTACACTTTTCAGTCATAAACAAGGAGTGTTGTACGAAAGTAAAAGTGAAAGGTTCATATATAAATAGCTAAAGTTCATTCGTTTCGTACGATAAAGTAAACAGAATTTTATCAGCGTTGAACTTAATAAGGATTAATCAGATTTACCAGAACTTTGATAAAATTTTGATAAGCTGACTGCGAAAAGCTTCTTCCGCAAAAACCAGCATCGTCGGGATTCGCTGGCACCATTCCAATGTAAGCGAGCATAACGGCTTGTTGATGCAATGCTCGTCAAGCACGAATCTAAATGTTTCGCTTGGTTCATGATCAAGAGCGGTTATCAAAGTTTGGCTCACCCAATTATGTTTTCCAATATCTGCACGGCCCAATCAGGAGAGACACCGGGCACGGAAAAAAATTCAACTGATGCCTGCACCTTGAACGAAAAATTAATTAAGAAAATCTAAGCAATATCAGATTTAAAAATGTGGAAAACTGAATGAACAGAACCTTGTTACAGCAATCTAAACTCATATCCTGCATACAGTGAGTTTCCTACCGAATTTACCAATTAAATGAATTTAGTTGCAAGATGACGGACACATACACTGAACGAATTATATTCACCAGTTATGGTTACGACACAGACAAATGAATGCCAAGTTATGGAAGTAAGCAGAAACACGCTTTAGTCACCCACTTAGCTGTGTATGCAGCTCTCGAAAAATATGGCATTTCTCGTTGATGACATCAAAATACCAAGAAGCGCTGCTCCATAAGCTCCATGAAAGGAGGACACCGCTAATGGTACCACTTGCGGAAGTGCAAGAACAAACCGCGTTTGCGTTTACGGTTACAAGCCTTCCATATTTGTCGTCTTGCGGAACAAATTTTTAACGAGCTGAAGCCATTGCGTTTCTGTAAGTTTATACAGACGCCTTAACCTTGACGAACCACGTCCTTGCATGTTTGCCAGTATAACCATTTTCAGTCACAGTGATATGAAACAGCTTGGCAAAAAATTCTCAATTCGAACAACCTACAGCGACGGAGATACTGAACTAGGTCGTCAATTAGGAAAAAGGCTACACGAATTTTGCGACACAAAAGCAAATTCTGCACTCCTTCCTAGGGTATTCCCTTTAATAGGAGTCCTCTAATAAGTCAGATTCATTTACATTCTTCAATAGCGGCAACATTCTTCAATCATCGGTCACCCCGCAATTTCATATCATTTTTTACAACATCGTGAGAATTTTCCCTGCTTTCCCGATTCTTTTCTTACTCATCATTATCAGCGTTTGGTCTGAACTTTCAACGTATTCGGCACTCTTATTTCCAAGTGATCACATCACAGAAAGGTTGTCATATCGCTCGAACTCCGACAGTCAATGTAATGCACATCAGCAGCAAAACATTAATGAAACATTTCGTCCTGAATGATGTCCGTGAGATAAGGATAAATGTTCCGGAGTGACTTACCATTCGTTATAGCGCCATATGAAATGAAACTTTGCATTCGGCTATTGTTCAATATTATTATTTAAAGTTGTCAATGCAGTCCTTGTTATCACACTTTTACAAGGCGGCAACGTCAGTATGATTGAGTAAAACTCTTGTATATTTGTGACGTTTCTGTAGCCCTAGGTACAATGCTTAGAGAAGTCTACACAAATGCAGTATACTTCATTCATTTCCCTTATTCACAACCTCCAAAGTAGCTGTTGCTGCATTAATGCCCAAAATCTCCTAGCTCTCTATCGCGGAAAACAGTTTTCAAAGCCTCGCAAAAGAAAAATCAAGACTCATTGGAATTTTCAAGAACGATTGACGAATGCAAGTTAAGTTGTAGGTTGCATAATCCACAAACTGTTTGCAAGTCCTAAACACAGCAGTGCCCGAAATGAGTTCATCTAGCATGATAGTACAACTGGCAACATCTACGTTGTGACTCTTTTCAGCGCTGAAAGAAATAGTTGTTTATAGACTGCTTAATCGAAGTATGGACGATTGACCGAAATGCTAGTTCAGCATCCACAGCTGACCCGAGTGGAGCATTTAAGCAGGGTATAGCTCGTTCGTAGCTGAGTATCTGCAATAATAGTATCCTGATGATACGAGGTGCGTTCAGCACTGCAGGTTCTGAAACACTGTAAAGCTGTGACCTGCTAAAATGGTCGCCTAGGTACCTCGATGTACAGTAGAAAAATACACAGCAAAATCTGGTTTTAGAAGGATCAAGCAATGATTAACATGCTCAGGAATAGGAACTGATATTTACATCCACACTGCGCCGCATGCAGCATTGGCATAACTTACTATTTGGATCAGCTGGTCATCGATGAATGCGGAAGAATGCTTCTGGAAAACGTCCAGCATGCTATAGAGAACTGCGTCCTCAAGCTGATGGCAGCAGAGCGAGCAGGCTTGCAGAAAAACTTTCAAAACTTTGGCAGTGTCGATGGTCTGTGACGCTAAATTATAATAGT